AACACGGCAAATCCTGAGTTCTCATCCTGTCACTGCTGCAACTCAAGATTGCGTTCATTACATATGAATGCATGTTTTTTTAAATATAATTTTTGATTTTGACATATTTAAGTCTGTAAAGTGTCAGAAATGAGTGGAAAACACACACACACAAATTCCCACAGCCTAAAGTAGCATCCAACAGTAGCTCATTTAGTCTCACTGAAAACTCCAGACTCAAAAGATATTAAATTTACAGAAACATAAAACACATACTGTATAAGAGGCCAGGAGGTCACCAAAATTTTACATTATCATATGATGCATAGGGTGAAACGTCCTCCTCTGACAATGTTGTGATGACAGCTTAGTTAAGCAGCAGCATAAATAAAGATAGCGCAACTGAACTGTTGAGTATAGTCTGGAACTGAACAGTACCATTACAGTGTAGCTGTGCTTACGTTACAATCGTGAAAATGTTCAGCTGGTTAGCCTAGCTTAGCATAAAAACTGGAAGCAGAGGGAGATGATGTATGTTCAGACATACACTAAACAACATCTGTAAAGCAAAGTAATATATTTACCCTAATTAGCCCTCTGAACCCCAAAACCAGCCAGTGGGGTTGAAAGGCATGTTATCTTTTTAAAATAATCACCAGAATTATACCATTTATTAGAGACAGAAACTGTTAAAACAAAAAGAATCTGTAGGTTTTCAACTTTGCAATGGTTGTAACACTAGTTCCATTGAAAAACCTACCAAAAATAAGCTTAAAATCACTTTATTCTACATCCAAAAATCACCAAAAATAAGCTATTAGTGCTAATGAGATTCTGTGAAAACCACAACGCCAATAGTTACCCAGCTGTGATCAATAGTCATGTGACTAAAGTATGACATACTTCTAAGCTAAGCTGCCTGCTGTGTTGACAAAGAACAGGTACCAGAGAGGTATGGATACAAATTCAACATGTAAAATAGTATGTAAGTCGAAATAACACCTGTGGAAAATATATGTTGCACATGTTGCTTTCAAGAGTTCTTTAATAGAACAGCAGCACCATGAAGATCTGCAAGAAAAACGTGCTTAGCTTAGATCATTTCCATAACTTCTCTGTCATTACAGGGACATTTTGTTCACCACAAGCAATAAAAGCAAACATTTTATATCACACAGAGACTACAATGGCTCTATTAGTGAAGCTGTGCCGGGCACTCAGCACTAATCAGTTATTGTTAAAGCACACAAGCTGAAAGACTTTTAGGACAAATTAAATGTTTAAAGAATGATTGTGATAAGGTTGGGTTTACAGATCGTCAACGTCTTGCATAATTATCTTGAAACAAGTCCAATATGTCCACTCTGTCTGTCCACCTTGTGTGAGTATTACCCTCTACGACTACTGCCACACCAGCCATCTCTACTTGCTCTTTAAACCATCTGTGTACATGCGCAGACTAATAATCAGCATCATCCATCACTGGCCTGCTCACATCTCTGCAGCAGAAATCGTAAGCAGTTGGACTCCAACACTAAGTGTCTTTAGAGGAGGTGGCCAGTGGGTGCGGCTGCCTCTCAACATGAAGCCAGTACAGCAGTAAGGTGTCAAACAGTTATGACCAACCCATGCAGCAGATGGTTGTGGAGGGAGGG